CGGCCTCTGGGACAGCACTGTGGGACCACCTCACTCCACACAGACAGCCTCAACAACAGCGCTGTGGGACCACCTCACTCCACACAGACGGCCTCTGGGACGGCACTGTGGGACCACCTCACTCCACACAGACGGCCTCTGGGACGGCACTGTGGGACCACCTCACTCCACACAGACGGCCTCTGGGACGGCGCTGTGGGAACCACCTCAGGACGCACAGGCAGCCCTGGCGACAGCGTTGCGCACAAGGAAGGTGAGCAAAGGTCTGAGGGGCTTTCTGCTACGTCCCATCCATGTTCATGGGCTCGGAGTGGAGGAGAGAATGGGCAGAGCACAAGGCACAGGACGGAGCAGCGGAGCCTGGCCCGGCCGAGGATGGGGACTAGGTGCTGACACCTGTCCTTGGCTCAGGGGACAATGGATGAGGAGGCCGAGCTCTGAGGTGGCAGGAGCACCATCCTTCACGGAGCTGCCACAGTCCCTTCACTGGAGGCTCAGGTCATAAAGCAAGTTAATAAAGTTGTGGCCTTGCTGGAAATCAGCTCGAAGCACAGGCGTGTCTGGCCTCGCCGCAGTGCAGCCCTTGGAAAAGGATCGGCAGAGCCATCCTTCTCGTGGCTGAGCAGATACAAGCCTCAGACACGCTCCCCCGTTTACCGTGCAGCTGAGACGCGCCTGGAGCACAGACACAACTTGCAGGCGCAAACCTGTACGTCTTCAGCGTCACCACCCGAGAGAGCTTTCGGTTCAGGGATCAAACCTAACGACTTCACAAATGACTAAGGGCCAGGTGATAAACTCTGGGTGGACATGTTAAACATAAAGGAGGAGGGGACTCCAAAAATGCTTGTTACAATTCTTGCTGAAGAATACCAGAATCCAATGCTCTGTACACAGTGTGAAAGCTGTATGAAATAACAACACACACCCAGAGCACTACACAAAAACGCGTCAGAAACCAAAAGGAACTCTATCAACGTCTTACAACTGTCTGAGATGTGGGGCTGTAAATAATGTCCCTCATTCCTTCATCTCTGAAACACCCGCCAGCATGGCCGTGCTGCCTCTACCTGCCTGTCTCGGGGTTACACCTGTGAGAGGGCAGGAGTGCCCCCAGTGCTTGGGGCAGAAGAGGGGCCCTCTGGCAGGCCCAGCCCCTCGTCCACCATGGGCACGAAGAGGACCAGGCCCACGCCCGGGCCCAGCAGTGCACTGGCGGGGGCCTTTACATCTTCTGGGGAAGCCTCCTTAGCCTGAAAAATGATGACTGGAAAACGTACGGACTGATGTAACGCAAAACGCACTTATCTATGACAGCCCCCATCAACCTCCGGGAAGACTGAGAACCTCCAAGAAAGACCACACACTACAGAGTGAGACAGGCAGGGTGTGGGCACTCAGCAGTGACATGTGAGACTGTGTCCTAATGCCTGTCCGACTTGGCTGCTCAGGGAACAGCAGCAGTGAGGGAGCCGGCTGGCGCTCGTTGCACCTACCTCAGGGAAGTACTCCTGTGGAAACTTCTCCTTCTCCAGCATGGGTGTGCTCTCCAGCGTGTCCGAGTAGATCTCTTTGCCGGTGACTTTTTTATACTTCTTAGCTGGGTGAAGAGGGGAAAGAACATGTCAATGGCTCTGTCACCACACCTGTCCTGCAGCCTATCGCTGACGGCTGCCCTTCGAGGCCCCAATCCCCTGCCTGCCCGCCATGCAGCCTGGTGGGGACTGGACAGGCCCCCAGTCACCTAGGCGGGGGAGCAGCTGCAAGGAGCTCCCTGAAGCCGGTACTCCTGGGGACACCGTGGCTCATAAATCCCCATCCCGGCGACCCAGAGCATGACACTCCACTTCTTTACCCCGCAGAGCGTTGGCCTGGGATTTACAAGGGTTAATTGGCATCCTCCTTACAGGCGTGAATGTATGTAAGTGGGCTGCGGAATTACCATTCGCCCGCACCCTGATAAGAATTTATTTGATAACATCCACCTCTCTTGCACCAGCAGCCTCGCTCATGTTCCGGGAGAAGCATTTTCATGGAGCTGGAGGGATGGAAAAGCAGGCACAGGGAGCATTCGGACCTGCTCCCTGCACGGGCCCAATCACAACCCAGAACCTTCCGACCCTGCCTCCAGTGGGTGCGGCGCTCGGCACCCAGCGTACCCCTTGCTGGGTGGACACTCCAGTGGGCAGGGCCTCCGTCTCGGCAGTCTCTGACATCCAGGACTAGGGGTGCTTATCTGTACAGGTGGGCACCCAGACCCCAGCAGGCACTCAGTAAATGGCACAAGGACCAACTGCTAGGGCTCCAGCTGGGCCTGGACAAGCAATCGCTGCAGGCTCTCTGGGCGGCGCTCAGACAGCATGCCAGGCTCTGTGGCCCACACAAGAGCCCCTGACCCCAAGAAGAGGAGAGCGACTACCCCGCTCCTACCCACCACAGCCCCAGCAGCGTGCACTGGTACCAGGGGAGCTGGCTCCAGGCCACACTGCTGGGTGTTAAAGGCATTCCTGGGGGCGGGCTTTGACACAAGCAGTGAGTGATGACATCCATTTCTGTGCGAGAACATGTTCTGTGTTTCATACCAGTGGCACACGTGGGTTGTTTCTGGAGGACTGAGCCCTGTACTGTGGTGGGTTTGGGGGAGAAAAAGCAAAGGGCTCCCCACCCCCCATGCCCCGGATCTGTGATATAGACGCAGCCCGAAGGCGCCAGCACCAGGTGTCTGGGCCACGCTGGTGGGAGGCAACGTGGACAGTCCAGCGGTTTAGGGATCATGGAGACCATCCCCAAACCCAGAACTGTAAGCTCGCTATATCTAAATCCCCTCTGACCACACCCCACACACAAGGAGCAGCACGCTGACGGGCCCTCACCTCTGCCTCCAAGGGCTGTCTTGGGGTCTTTCTCACTGAGAGAGCATGAAAGGGTCCTGGGGTTGTGCAGCACATGCTCGGGCTGGCCTAAGCGGGAGGTGATTAAAGAAACAAGGGACCACCATGGTTCTGAGCCCACTCAAGGCCTGCCTGTTTGCGGCTGGACGTCAAGTACAAGTGCCTTCAATCACGAGAAGCACTTACTGTAACCACCCATCCATCTCCGCGGAGGAGCAGCATTGATCAAGGATCACTCCTGTGGAGCTGCCATCACACGGGGTGGGGGTGGAGGGGGCAGAAACAAAGCCACCTCCGTGTCATGGGCGTCACATGGCATCCTCTTTAATGAGACAGACAGACAACCTGCAACCTGGACACAAAACTGAGGGGGAGGGATTCTAAAAACCAGCAGGGGGGGTGACCAGACACTCCGGGGGCAGCTCTGTCCTCGCTGAGTCACCACCGTGTGTCTGGGCTTGTTCACAACACTCAACACGGCAGCTCCCGGCTAGCTGACCCACACCCGCAATCTGAAGCCAGCCTGCAGCGTGGGGCGCCCCAACGCCAGCACCAACAATACGCTACTGCTATTGAGGTACTCTACAACGTCAGTCAGCTCCAGTGGATTGTTGGTGCTGTTCAGTCCGACCACATCCTGGCTGATTTTCTGCCTGCTGGAGCTGTCAATTACTAATAAGGGGTGCTGAAATCTCCAACTGTAATTGTGGATTTGTCTCTTTCTCCTTGGAGTTCTACCAGTTTTTTTGCCACGTATTTTGATGCTCTGTTAAGAACATATACATTGAAGATTGTTGTCTTCTTGGAAAACTGACTCTTTTATCATTATGCAATGTCCCTCTTTATCCCTGATAATCTTCCTTGCTCTGGAGTCTTCCTTGCTTGAAATGAATATAGCTACTCCAGCTTTCTTTTCATTAGTGCTGGTATAGTATAGCTTTCTCCATGCCTTTATTTTTAACCTATCAGTATCTTCATATTTAAAGTGAGTTTCTTACAGACAACATATAGTTGGGGTCTTGTTTCCCTCCCACCTCCCACTCGCTCTGACAGTCTTTGTCTTTTAATTGCTGTATTTAGACCATTCACATTTAAAGATGTTAGTTGGATTAATATCTACCATAATTGCAACGGTTTTCTATTCATTGTTCTCCTTTTTTGTTTCTTTATTCTCCCTCTTCTTCTGCCTTCTCTGGTTTTAACTGAGCATTTTACATGATTCCATTTTATGTCCTCTCTTAGCTTATCAATTACTTATGTTTTTAAAAAAAATTAGTGGTTGCCCTGGAGTATGCGATATACATTTACAACTAATCTGAGTCCATCTTCAAATAACGCTTATACCACTTCACAGGGAATGCAGGTGTTGTATATCAGAGTGTTCCCAGTTCCTCCCTTCTGTCCCTTAAAACATCGCTGTCTTTCATTTCACTTATCCACAGCTATAATTACCTAAACACTGTTACTGTTAGACCAGTTAAGAATAAGAAAAACAGAATGTTTTATTTTATGTTCATCTCAACTGCTCTTTCTTTATGAAGATCTGAGTTTCTGACCTAAATCATTTCCCTTCTCTTTAAAGAACTTCTTTTAATATTCTTGCAAGGCAGGTCTACTGATGACAAATTCCCTTAGTTTTTGTTTGAGAAAGTCTTAATTTCACCTTCACTTTTGAAGAATAATTTTGCTGAATACAGAACTATAGGTTATTGGTTCCACCTCCCCCCCCTTTCACCACTATAAATATTTCATTCCACTCTCTTCTTGCTTGCATAGTTTTGGAGAGAAGTCTAATGTAATTCTTATCCTTGTTCCTCTACAGGTAAGGTGTTTTTTTTTCCCTCTTTGGCTTCTTTCAAGATTCTCTCTTTATCTTTGATTTTTTGCAGTTTAAATATGACCATGCCCAGATACAGATTTTTTTGGGTGGTGGTGGTGGTGGTGGTGGTACTTATCCTGCTTGGTGTTTGCTGAACTTCCTGGATCTGTGATTTTTGTGTCTATCATTAATTTTGGAAAATTCTCAGCCATTATTACTCCAAATATTTCTTCTGTTCCTTTATCTCTTCTCCTTCTGGTATTCCAATTACACGTATGTTACATGTTTTGTAATTGTCTCACAGTTCTTGGATATTCTGTTCCATTTATTTATTTATTTATTTTTCGTTCTTTTTTCTCTTTGCATTTCAGTTTGGGAAGTTTCTGTTGACAGAACTTCAGGCTCACAGATTCTTCCCTCTGCCAGGTCCAGTTTACTCATGAGTCCATCAAAGCAAAGACTTCTTTATTTATGTTAGTGTTTTTGATTTCTAGTACTACCTTTTGATTCTTTCTAGAGTTTCCATCTCTCTGCTTCACGTTACCAACCTGTTCTTGCATGTTGTCTACTTTCTCTGTTAGAGCCCTTTACGTATTAATCATGTTGTTGTTGTTATATTGTTGTCAGGTGCTGCTGAGTCAGTTCCAACTCATAGCGACCCTACAGGACAGAGTAGAACTGCCCCACAGGATTTCCAAGGAGCAGCTGGTAGATCTGAACTGCCGACCTTTTGGTTAGCAGCCGAGCTCTTTACCATTATGCCACCAGGGCTCCATATTAATCATAGCTATTGTAAATTCTTGGTCTGGTAATTCCAAACTCTGTATCACATCTGAGTCTGATTCTAACGCTTGTTTTGTGTTTTCAGATTTTTTTTCTTGTTTTTTAGAATGCTTTTTAACTTTTTGTTGAAAGCCAGACATGATGTATCAGGTAATAGGAACTAAGATAAACAGCGTGAAGTTTTAGGTTAATATGGCTAGGAGTTGGGTTGTATTTAATGTCTCTTGTACCTAAAGGTGCCAGAGGCTTCAAGTTCCTCCAGTATTCTTATTTTTGTCTCTCCTGTTGTATTTGGGCTTCCCTAAGAACTCCTCCTTAGATTACAGCCTTTTCAGCTGTAATCCCATTGTTATACTGGAGCCCTGTTGGTGTGGAGGTAATGTGTGGGGTAGGGAAGCATTCTATAAGTCTATGATTAGATCTTAGTCTTTTAGTGGGCCTGTGACCCTGGACAGTGACCATCAACAGTGCTTCTCACCCATTTCCGCCCATCCCTTAGGTGGGACGGGACTGTTAGAAGGATTGCAGTTGGGTATTTCCCTTTGCCCATGCCAGTTAGGCTCTGGTAAAAAACACTTTCCCTCAGGGCAGGCTGTTGTTAGGTGAACAGTGCGCTGTTTCAAAATGGGTATTCTTCCTCCTTCCCCTGCATGAGGGGATTTTTCTCCAATTGACCTTCACTGTACAAACGTGATTAAGCTCCCAGAGGTAAAATACAAGTGTCAGGGCCACCCTAAGGCTGGGATTCAGGAGTTTTTCTCTCTCAAGCTGGTCCACACTCAGTCTCTAGCAATTAGTCAGTTATCTTTTAAGTGTTTCTAGCTGAGGCTGGGTCCAGCAAAAGTTTCTGCAATTGTCTGTATCTGCCTGTATCACCAGTTTTCAGGGTGACGGTTTGCCCTGTGTCCTCAATTCGATGAAGGATTTAAGAAGAGTCACTGATTTTCAGTTCATTCAGCTTTTTTCTTTTGTGAGGGTGGGAACAACGACTTCCAAGGTTGTTACATGTCAGACTGGAAACGGAAGTGCCCTTTAATCCTTTTCTCTATACCTTTTGGTACTCCTTAAATTTCCAACTAGAGTTGCTTTTTTTTTTTTTTTAATTCAGGTTATTACCTTTTAAAAGTGTGTTCAAATTCACAAATTCTGAGTTGCTTTTGCTGTAACCCCACTCAAGGCAGAGAGTGTGCACGGACGACACAGGCCACCGAGCAGGTGGAAGCAGGAGCCCACCCACCTCGAGACCCCATCACGCCTCGCACCTGTGCCACGGGGCTGGCAACACACCACACTGGGCCTCTGTGTGCACATACTGAGTGAAAGAAAGTGCTCAAAAAAATGCTCACTCTATTACTATCATTGTCATTATCAACATTTACAACACAGAGGCCCCCAGGGGAGGTTGTGCTCAAGTCGAAGGCCCTACACATCTAACTTGCACATTTAAATAAGCAGTGGGCTAGCCAAGTACCTTATGATCAAATAGGACTGAGTACAAAATATGTACGCAAGCACTCACTAGATTCAGTGCGTGCTTGGGCTTGATGTGTGGTTTATCAGCACACTCCTTGCTCTGCTCCCAGATCCCTCTGGGATGTGCTGTGTCTCAAAGTCCCCCCTCTGCTCACTCTCACACCGCTGGTGGAGAACACAACATGTTAATTAATGTCTGGTGTCTATTAAAGTCCTGGGGAGAGCAGCCTCTAACCCTCTGTCTCCTGCCAAGTCCTCATGGAAAGAGCCAACGCTGGTGTTTAAATGTATCTGGAGGGTCTTTAGACAACAGGGCAGGTGAAAAATAATTTTGCTGGCTAGAATCCTGCTCTCAATATTGATGAAATTGCTACTCAAGCAATTTAGAGAAGATCTTGTTTTTCAATTTCTTAAGAGGCGATCTGTCTCCCAAGTGAACAAAAATAATGAATCTGAACAAATTGACATAATTAGTTGCTCTTCACAGTTATTACAACTTTAGTGACATTTCAAATTAATGTGATCTGGCTCAACAGCCTAAATGGAGTTCAGTAGTCTCTACACAGAACATGAAAAGATAACATCAAGTGGAAGGAAGTGCACAAAAATCCCGTTAGACCGAACAACGCACAGCTGAAGTTGCTCACATCAGGGTGACAAACGCCCCAGGGAACAGGAAGAAAGAAGCGCGACGGGTTCCTGACACTAGGGATGGCAGCACTGCCACACGCCTGCACTCGCACCCATTTTTCCTTTCTGAATTACACAGTCTTGACATTCTGCTTCTTGTTTCTCCTACATCTGATAGGCACAAAGACACAAACCCTATTATAAGGAATGGCCGAGTCCTCTGCTGAGTCTCACACAAGAGAAGGGATGGCGGGGAGGGGCCGGCGGGTGGGGACACAGGGCGCTAAGGCCTGCATTGGTGGGAATAGAGACCACACCCACCCTCCCAGGGGCGCTGGGCGGAAGGGACTGGAAGAAAGCAGACTGCTGGGGAAGAGGGGTGTCCACCGAGACAGGAAACCCAGGAGTCAGCAGAGGACAGCATGGACTCTTACCTTTAAAGTCAAACTGGTGGATGTTTTTTAAAGATTCGTGAAGAAAATAAAAGCTCCCTAGTGCCTGCAGAACAAAAAGAGAAGTCCCGTGAGAACCTGGAGCTGGTAAGCACTTTTAAAATAAGAGTTTAACTAACGGCAAATTAATTATAGTCACTTAGACACAAGATGTTGAACGCAGTTAACCCAATAATACTCAAGCTAAAACACGTGAAACAAATAGTGAGTTCAGCATTTCCTTCAACATTCCAAGTTGAGAACCGTCTATTGGAGGATGCACGGCCTGCATGCTGGGAAACATCCCCACAGGCCCACACGGCTGTGACAGGGAGCAGGCACCCCAGCCCTGTTGCTCCCGTCTGGCTCTGCTGCCCCCAGGGCTCCCCAGCACCTCCGCTCCCACATGCTGGGCCTGCCCAGCACCCGTGCCCTCCCCGGTACCCCAGGTGAGCGACTCTGGCCAGCTGACATGACAGGGAACCCCCCCCATCTGGTGGGGGAAAGAGAATCCCTCCCTCGAGAAAGCGAAGTCAGCAGAGGGTGAGTGGGTGTGTGGGGGCTCCACTCCCCTCCCGCACACACTGCACTTCCCAGACGGGGTCTCTGCACTCCCGCACGAGGGAGCCATGTGCACTTGACACCTGACCCCAGGGCTCAGTCCTCCCCACTCCACCTTCTTGGTCCCAGGCCACACCGGAAGCTGAAGCGGGGCACTGGCAGCTGCGTGGGACCGGGACCTGGGGCTGTGCTCAGCGCCCTGCGGCCCAGGTGAGCGTGTCTGGGAGGCTCCCCCTGGATGCAAGTGAGACCACAAAGGCTGACCAGCCACTGCCAGGAGTGGTGGCGCCACTGCCACACGCGTTCCCCTTCCTGGGCGTCCGCTGCACCAGCTCCTGTAGCTACGCCGTCTGCACAGCAGACACCTGAGATGTCGGGGACACTGGGACACGTGCGGCCGGAATGACCACGCCGTCTCCAGGATCTAAGGAAGCAGCTGTGGACCTGAGCCTCGTGAGGGGACTTCTACAGCTACTCCATAGATACCAGCCCGTTAAAAGAAGATCGTGTGATTTGTTTCAGTAAAGAAAGCACTCTGAAAAGTTTAATAAACGTCATCGCAAACACTTAAGACATGACCTTGCTGAATGGGATAAAGCTAACATAACATCATGAGGTTCGCAATACATAAAATGAGAATAAACTGCCAATGCGGGCACAGAAGGTGTAACTCACACAATCAGACAATCCATAATTAGGTCTAATGAGTACTTAAAGTCAAAGTGCAGTCCATTCTCCACGTTTAGCCTGCCCCATCGGCACGGCTCAGGGCGCCCATTTATGGAGGGGCACGGCGGCGTCTGACAGGTGGCGGCCGGCCACACCCATGCCAAGTCCCGAGCGCCCATCCCCCAACCACCACACGTGTCAACTGTACACTCGTCACATCACAGTATGTCGACTCCCTGCCTGCTTGACTAAAAACAATTAAAACACCTTCTACATATTCATAAACCTGGTGGCCCAGAGTGTCTGCTAATTCCCATTGGTGGAACACCATCAGCGGCTGACCACTTCAGCTAGAAGAGCCGACACAGCCAGAGGCAGATCCTCCTGGGGCACAGCCTCACTGGCAGAGACCAAGTTCCTCGGCTCCGGCTCCGAGGAATGGGCCAGCCAGGAGCCAGAGCCGAAGCCGGATCTGCGGCAGCCTCAAAGGCAGACTCGAACTCACACTTTCACGTGGAGACAGCGGGGAAGTGAACTGGCATGGCCAGGTCCGGGAAAATGGCGCGCCTGGACCCGGCCACCACCACATGGCGACAGAGTCCCCATCCATGTGTGTGGCTGGATAACGCTGCTTATTGCTGGGTGGTCATGGTCTGTAGGGTGCCTAGTAAAGACGAAGCGTTTGCAAATGCTATTAACACACATCCCAGCCCCGACACGTGGTGAGCGGTCACGCCGCCCCAGCCCCGACACGTGGTGAGCGGTCACACCACGCCAGCCCCCACACGTGGTGAGCGGTCACACCACCCCAGCCCCCACACGTGGTGAGCGGTCACACCACCCCAGCCCCCACACGTGGTGAGCGGTCACACCACCCCAGCCCCGACACGTGGTGAGCGGTCACACCACCCC